AGAATCATGTAAACTTTCTTTCCAAAAAAGGTTCTTATTGCTATCAGAGATGAAGAATTTGTTAATGCTGATAAGTAGTTAGAATATCAAACAATTCTATTTTTATTTCACTTTTTAGACATTCACTTATTTTCTTTACTTCATATTTAATATATATCAAACATTTAAATATATAAAAATAAATTAAATATTTATTGCTTTGAAGTCTGCAAAAGTTTTCCCTGGCATAGAACATAAAGATTTTTAAATCAAAGTTTGATTTGAGGAGCAGAAATTGGCCATTATGGAATATTGTCCTTTCTAGAAATTTGCATAAAAAGAATAATCATTTTCTTTTATTTTTTAGAACATGTAGCAGACTTATTTTTAAATACAACAACAACAACAAAAAGTTATGGGCTTAAGACAAAATGAAAGTACTTTAAATTGATGAACATGTGTTTTGTTCGTTTTATACTGCTACTGGATTTGGGAACATTTAGGAAATTACTATTCAATCCAATAAATGTATCCAAATAAAGAATTTTACTGATGAAATCTTCACCGTCCTTTGTATGAAAATATGTACTATGACTGTTGTCCAAAAATACATGTATACCCCATTCTTAATGTCGGCTACCCCGATAACCTATTCAAAACTAGGTCACATTTCTTTAAATCCTTTTATTTAAAGGGTAAACATTTGAAAATGTATCAGTTTAAGTTGATATTTTTGGCCGAAAAAAAGACAAATTGAGCAACTGAATCAATATATTGGACCCATCTACAGTTCACAAAAAGCAGCACACCTTAGCCTCCCAGTAAGTACATTTCGTAATTTCACCGTGAGGAATGCAATGTCTGCAGATCATTAAGAAATAGAAGTGATAATATTCAGATCACCTAAATTAAGATAAGGGCAGTAAGAAATGTTTTCTTTTATCTTTTAAATGAGATTAATTTTTTAAAATGAAAACAGAAGCCGCAATTAGATTCGTTGACGTGTCTAATGTAAACAAATTATGTCATCATGCAGCAATTATACAGATATTTAATATTAACTCAATACTTCTTTAAAAAAGTATGATGCTAGATAATAATTTCCTGTTATACATATGTAACTTTTCCTGCGTTTACATACCTTTCCACTGTTCCAAAGTCTTAGTTACCTTATAGGCCTGTTAGACGTACACCCTATATCCCGTACACGACGAAAAGTTCAGTCATGCGTCAAGAGGTCGAAAGTTCATAGTGGGGTAAATAATAGTTGAAAGACTTCAAGAGATCCAATGATCTGAAACTATTTCTTTTTAAATAAGTGTGAATGCTATAAACATAAATATTCCTTTTAAATTATAAACACTATAAATTGATGATCTTAGTCTTGCCTTGAAGATTAAATTGTGGAAAAATTCCAATAAAGGCGCTTTAATTAGTACTCAGGTACCTACAAAATCGTGGTCCAAAATTGTCACATTGAAAGAGATTGTAATAATGAAACAAAAATAAATGTTTAAAAAAATATGAATTTTGCAAATTATTGCGATGTTAAGTTTCATATGACAAAGGACAATTTTGCAGACAGGAAACAAAACGTGAATTCGACAGCGACGAATAAGGTGGGCGTTAAATATTTTATTTAATTATTAGTCGGCTAATAAAAAAGCCACAACCACACAGAAAAAGAAATAAAGTAATGTGAATAGGTTTTCAATATTGATTTACTTAGAAGGTAACGAAAAACCATGGGTTTTTCATAATGTTACTCAATTACGCATGTGTCAATAATTCTATTAAAAAAGAAAATTAATTTGTTTTCAATATAATCTAGGTATGTCAACCAGGAGCTTTTGAAAAAAGTTTGGTCAGAATCTCCTGTCAAAATTATCAATTACAATTTAATTTTTTCATCATATTTGAATTAAATATAAAAAAATATACAATTTTCAATTAAAAAAAAACTGCCTACAAATTCGATCAGAAATAAAGATTTATTGGGGACTATTTCTTGTGATGTAAGGATATTTAGAAGAAAATCCTCAATATCTACATATTTGTTTAATCAGTATCTTGTTATATTATTCCTACATATACATAGTTTTACTCAGAGAAATGTCTTCGTTATTGCATGGTTTATAATATATATAAAACAAATTTTACACATTTATTTAACGGACTTTTCAATCAAATGAAAAAAATTAAGATAAATCGAACAAGGCAAGATAAAATTTACAGTCATTCATTTGATTTTGATTTTTCCGCCTGAAAATTTCATATTTTGACCCAAATCTTATCATTTACATTACAGGACCATACTTTTTATTTCATAATTTTAAATTTGACAAATAACAATACCCTCAACCAATCAGTTCTAAGTTCATAAAAAGCCAGATACAAGAAAATATACAATACAATATTCATTGGCACACATACAATTACAATAATTGGCAAAGACACAACATACAAGAATCATCAATTGTTCATACATTTAAACAATATTCTAGATTGTGAAGATATGCATGAATCATGCAATCATTTGTACAATAATGATGTAATACGATCACTTCTAGATATATGACATTTTTTAAATTAATGAGTGTGTTATTTTCAGCATTTTTGGGCATTGGCTATTAAACCAGAGCTTACCTTTTTTTAGTATAAACATATTTGATATTTTCCCTTGAAAAAAAATTCAGCGAATTCCTTTCAAAAGTTAACCTATGATTATTGTATTTTTGGCAGCTGAATAGAAAATGAAATTCATCTTCAATCTCTCCTGTGTTGCAAATATTACAAAATCTTTTATCTGTGGGTATAGACAAGTGTTTCCCTTTTTCTATGGCAAGATACATGTATATATGATAATCTATTTAAATCTATATAATTTATATATCTATAATCTTTAATAATTTATATATAATTGCCTGTTTAGATTTCTAATACCCAAAAAATAATATTTTATTAGTACAGACTTGAAACTAATTAGGATTAATTTACAACATTTTTTCAACAAAGAATATAATTTAAAATATTTTGCATAAAATAAAATTATATTTATTATTATGATGACAGCTGGTAAGATATGATAGAGGTTATAGTGATTTACCTAAAAGTTAACAATTTAAGTGCGAAAATGTCAGGGTCATTGTACCGTTGCTTAGTAAGATGAACACTGACACCAATTCTCTTGGCGATTTTAAGTTATGCCATGAAATAGGTGAAGATAAAAAACAGTGATCGATTAAAAAGAACAAAAACTCTTGAACAGGGCATAAAACACGGACCACTGGAAATTCGAGAGGTGGGATCGGGTGCTTAGGAGGAGTAAGCATCCCCTATCAACTAGTCATTCCAGCCCTACCTATCAATCACGTAGAAGGAATAATCCGTAACCAAATTTAATTTTAAAAAAAACAAAGACCTAACAATTAGTATGAAATATGTCAGTCTGAATTTGACCTAAAGATAGGTTGTATTTGTTAACGATGTCATTGTAATGACCATAGAATTTACGAATTGCTGTCTTTAAACGAGATTGTTTAAATTCATATAACATCCCCTTTTTTCAGCTCTTCAAAGTTTTTTTTTTTAAATATTTCGGATTTCCAACGTTTCGGCATGAGCATCTCTGAAAAGACATAATTTGTCGAAATGCGCATCTGGTGCATCAAAATTGGTACAGTTTATGATTTACATCAACTTCTTTGTAAGTAGCCTGCGTCTGTTTGAAATCCTAAACATACTTAGCATGCTTAGAGCATGCTCTTGAGTATTGAATAAGATGGGAAAGATAAACACCAGATGCAGTTGATAGTGGAATATTATTACATAAATAAAGAAAAAAAATGGGAAAAAACCTAATGTCACCTAATTTGTCATAGACTTTAGTTGTTAGTTGGCCCTTAACGTCTACATGTATAGTAAAGCTTCCAAATATGAAACATATGTGGCAGATTCTGTGGTGTCTTTTATTTTTTGTTCACTGGGATATGTCGAGTCGACAAATGAATAGAAGTAACTATTGCTAACTGATAAAGCTTCGTCGATATATCTGAATGTCATCTTGAAGGCCATAGCAAATGTTTTCTTCTTCTCAAGTAGAAGTTTTTAAATAAAATCTGCTCCACAGGAATATAAAAACAACTCCGCTAATAAAGGATTACAATTAATGCCCATCGAATTGAAATTCCAGCAGATTGTTGGAAGACCTGACTCTGGTATCATAAAACTTAGATGAGCTCACTTTTGACCTCAGTCTCATTTTTACCCAAGGAATTAATAGTGGAAAAGTGAGACTGAGATCAAAAGTAAAATAATATTCATTATATATTTAAAGTAGCAAATACCTAATAATAAGGTAAAATTAGGATCATCAAAATATTACACCAGTGTCTGCGTTTCTTAAAAGAAAATACGATTGACAAATAATTATAAAGACAGAAAGTTAATAATAGTCATTCATATTTATCAAATATATAGTAATGTGGTGAAATGACTTTTGTTGCCATTTCCCGCTTGTGTGCAAAAATAGGTGACCTTTTGCCATGGAAACAATGCCAATCGAGCATTTGAAATACTATTTTTGTAAAATGTAATTATGTCAACAATTTTAAACAAAATCAGTGAGAATCAATTTCCAGTCCATTTTGATGCTTACAGAGAATGACTCATAAATGTAAAAAATATGCGGTTTATGGGCACAATGAACTATTTTGAAAAGTAGGTCAAAGATCAAGGTCAAAGGTCACGACGTCGGTAACCATGGTAATTTACAAGAGCCATAGTACCAAGCAATACACATGTATGTACAAAATATCAAATACCTCTTACAGTTCTTGAGATACAGGGTGTGACGACGGACAGATGCCGGATAAAGTGATTACTTAGTGCCACTCTGCTCTGCATGCGACACAAAAAAGGACTTCTTTAAAAATGTGATAAAGAATTTACACACATTATTTAAGGATTTTTAGCTTATGTTCATATGTTTCATTTATTTTCCAATTACTTTCACTTGAGTTTCAATCTATTAAAAAGCCTGTAAAATGACAATGAAATTGTCCCCCGGGGATAACGGCAAACTCCGAGGAGGATGTACTGCCCACACTGACGTAAACCCTATCTCCTCTCTGTAACTCCAGAAGAGTGTTCTCCGACCGCTTCACCCACACACTGTGTGCCCCAATAAATAGGTAAGATGCCTCCACTCCGTTCTTCATGATGTGCACTCGGAGGTAATCGCTAGCATTGCTTTGAGCGGGAATGCTGAGGGTGACGATGAAGAAGTATGTGCCTGATATAGGGGTTGTGAAGACAACAGAGGCACCGCTGTAACCGCCGCCTTTGTTGGAAATCACGTGGTCAAATTTTATGACCATGTTTGACCTTGGGTTTCTTACGTCATTCCCTAGTGTTGCCATAAAAGAAACGTCAGGCTTTCCTGAAATACCAAACTGAAGTTAAATAGAAAAAGAATCTTTAATTTCTAAAACTAAACTCATATATCTGGCGAATATGCTAATAGCTTTTTCTCACATGAAATGCTCCAAAATCGGACTTTGACAATCGGAATCAGATGTTTTACTAAAAATCAAAGCTTCAGGTACCTATTTATCGAATTTTTTTTAATTATTTTCTTTCAACATCTTCCTTCAAATTAAACAAGTATAAGAATACCTTAGTGCTGTCATATATTTTTAAAGCAAGTAGATGACTTGCATTTCACAGTAAACAGAATACTGTGGCCCTTTGTGAAAATAATCAAAATCAATCCGTTTTGGAAACAATTTCACTCAACAGAGCCAGACTTTTTCTCTCCGCACAATTCACTTATTGTTTCTCTGTTACAGGTGTCATAGTTTGTGAGGTACTGGAAACAGGTTCCTGTATTTTCACAGATACAGACTCGTCCAATAACAGCCAAACACCAACACAGTAATGGGAATCTGGTGGTATACATAGTACTTACAGTGTAGTAAGAGTTAACTTACTACATGTACCATAAAGAACTTTTTTGATAATGATTTGTGCAAAATCAAACACTTACGTTTTATATACACCATAATCTCAGGCACCATACCATTTGATAAACGAGAAATATACATTGTATATAACCTCGTAAGCACTAACGCGATTAACAACATCGACGAATACTCAAACTTCTGATATCTTTATATTTTTGTCAGATGAATCGAAAAACTTATCACAACTATTAAATAACTCTTGCTAGCACAGGTGTTTTTCTGTGAATTTTAACAGTTGATATAAACGGTGGATAAACCTCAAGCCAAAACATATAACTCTGATTCCAAAAAGGAAAGCGCGTTTGCCTCGAAGTCGGTATTGTTTTGTTTAAGTGTTGTTGCTGTTGTTGTTTGTTTGTTTGTTGTCTTTTTTTGTAAAAGTATAAAGATCAGTGCCTTCATTTGTGTGCAAACAAGATGTGTTTGTGAAACACTGATGGTCAAAATTAATGGTGCCCAAGGAAAGGCCATTCTCACAAGAAATACACATGGAAAATATGAAAGCCCTAGCACCAACCATTCAGAAGTTATGGCCAAGGTTAGAGTTTTTCAAAATTAGGTCAAACTCCAAGGTCAAAAGGTTAAAGTTGTTGGTATCCAAAGTAAGGTTTTGTCACAAGGATACATATGTGAAGTGTGAAAGCCCTAGCACCAACTGTTCAAAAGTAATGGCCAAGGTTAAAGTTTTTCAAAAAGTAGGTCAACCTCCAAGGTCAAAATGTCAAAGTTGTTGGTATACAAAGTAAGGTCTTGTCACAAGGATTAAATATGTGAAGTTTGAAAGTACTAGCACCATCTGTTCAAAAGTTATGGTCAAGGTTAAAGTTTTCCTAAAGAAGGTCAAAGAGTCAAAGTTCTTGGTATCCAAAGAGATTCTTGTCAAAAGGATTACATATATGAAGTATATCTAAGATATCGAATATTAACATTGGTATAACTATTTTATAACATTACTACTAGAGAGTCTTTAGCCTTCTTATTCATTTCAGACTGAAAGTTTATCTAGTACGTTTACTTTACTAGTATTATTCGGGGAAACGTATAAGCTGAATTGTAACGTTATTTTTATTCTTTCCTGTTCATCAAAGTCAGATTTTACAAATATTTACTTTGATCTTGAACATATTTCTCAGCAGTCATATTGATAACTAGCTGCTGTCATAAGACAGTAATACCCGCACATAGGTATTTGCCATTGAATATACTCTTCTTCATATTTGGGTAACCAGAGAAGAAGCCACAATGATTCCATAATTTACACAGATTATATACATATATATCATATATATATGTATCAAATTGAGCATAAAATGCTCAGATGAGTCTTGTGTAAGTATTTTATATAATAAATTCATTACAATCTCTGGTCATAAATGTTTAAAAACCTTAAATTTGTGAATTTTAATCCCACTTCCGATGGCCACTTGCCATCAATACTTATTCCAAAATATTTATGAACGATCTACTGAAAAAAAAAAATGTAAGAGGAGTTCAGGGAACCAGGTATTTAAAAAAAGTCAATTATTTGATTACCATTTGGCCCCTGTGGTGAAAAAATCCCGAAACCTTATTGCACATCTACAGGAGACAATCAATCATATTCCAAAACATGATTTGGCTATTGTAAATAATGTAACTTGAGTACAGGGAACAAGGTTTTAGTATAAAAAAAGGTGATTTTTGACCCCGATTGCCCCCTCCCTCCTTCCCGGGAGTGAAAATGGAAATTCCAAAACCTTACTGCACATCCAGAGGACATTCCTAATTATGTTCCAGAATATGAATGGGCTACTGCAAAAAATATAAGAGGAGTACAGGGAGCAAGGTTTTTTACTCCCATCTAGCCCAAAGGGTGAAACTGAAAAAAAAAAATCAAAATCTTTTTGCACATGTTCAAAGCACCACCAATAATATTCAAAAAGATGAAATGGATACTGCTTAAAATGTAGGAATAGTTCGAGGAAGAAGATAGTTTAACATGACGGACGAACGAGAATAATGACAATATACCAGAACTTAAATTCTTCAGAATGTGCGGGTATTATAAAAATTTCACATTTTTTTTTTCAATATTTTCATAGGTTTTACCTTTGCAAATGAAAGTTTTGGAATTCTTTATTATTACTATTCCTGAAAAAATAATTATTATTAAGGGTGTATTCCCGTTTTGTATACATTTGATAATTACGTGTAGAACAATAGTTGTGAATTAACAATCATACTGTGTATTACAATGTATTGTAAAATAAAGGGAAAAAAGAATTCATTGATATTTATGTCTCAACTCAGTCCGTTTTACATTTCATAGAAAAGTTAAAGACGCAATTAATTAATGAATAAAGAAAAATTTCAATGACATTAAGGTTTCAAAACACATATAAAAGAATTAATTGAAAAATGAATAAATTTATGCTATTGAAGATTTGCATGCATAATTTCGGCAATTGAAAAATTGAGAAAGCTTAAAATTTATATTCTATTATGTAGTTCTCAACTAAATCTTTTTTAATTAGATAAATAAACAAATGATAAAATAAATAAGGAAATAAAATATTTTCAAAAGGTGGAAAATCAACTTGTTCATCCAAGGGGAAGCTGAGGAAATCAGATAGTAAGGAATAATAAATCTAGATATGTTAAATACACATGACTTAAGCTCTCTTTCCCTAAGTTCACCTTCAATTCAACAATTCAATTCGCACTTTATATTCTGTTTTGCACACTATTTCAAATATGTGCAAAACGGGAACAATCCTCATTAAATTCTTAGATTAGAATGCTTTACTTAAATAACATATTAATACAATAAAAACTTAAATTTATAATATTCCATTTTTCTAGGACTTTAGGCATGGTGTTATCAGAATTTCTACAAAATTTAGTGGACATATTCTGCTTCTTAAGTTTCAGGTTACCAGCAGGGTTATTCAATGACGTAGCAGATGGTGTCGTAGATATTGAAACCTATTCAATTATCACTTAAATCTTCGTAATCAACGAGATTTAAAATCAGTAAAATTATGACTCTTGCATTTTTTACCCGTTAATATTGTATTTTAAAGCTTGCTATGTTTTAGAAAGTCAACTATGCGAAATGCAGAGTCCTGCCATAATGAATTACCGGTAATAATGAGAGAACAATTCTTTATGCCTCAAATCTTTAGTGTCATATAATGGCGATATATACGATAAATATATATACAAATGTGTATTAGAAGATTATGATCATAATCTTGGATCCTTTAAAAAGACATTATCTATTTATACAAAATATTTCTCAAGATTATCAAACAGATATTAAATCTCAAATTCCATGCCATTGTCAGTTAATCCGAGGTATGGAACGAAGGACCTCAATAGCTTTACGCACTTCGAGATATCTACATACGGGTAAACAAATATAATTAACAAACGGACAAAGGAAAGCGGCTTTCAAATCATTTAAACTTGTCCCTTTTTGTCAAAATAATAATATCTTGAGAGAACTGGCGCTTTCTTTTGCCCGATTTTGTGTCACGTGCGCCATGTATTTAGGTTTTAATTGATTCCTCTCTTTTGGCTTACGCCAATATTGAGAATATTTTATTAAGTTTGGCTTTTAAACTGTTTTCATATTTAAAGTACCGACTTACTTAAAATTCTGAATTTGTTAGCAAAGAACATTCGCAATACTGGGTACTATTCAATGTGTTTTATGTTGAGGATGAATGGTGTGTATAGCTGATTTTGTTGGAGGATATAATTGGAATGATGTTGTGAGCTAAATTCGTATGTAAATTTATTAAATAATATCTGGTGTTGGTCATATGGAAACTTTATCGCCAGCTGCTGACCACACAGGTACTGTACCCTCGGAACTGCTCCAGAATGGCCACATGGTCTCTGTTTCGAGGGAACCACGACAGAATGACCTCGGGGCCCCTGTCTCCGTGGAACAACCGTTGGCTGACCGTAGGGTCACTGCTTCAAGAGAACCGCCTCAGTATCTTGACAGGCGACGATCGTGGTTGACTGAGGATATTCCAGACGATGATGATGATGATGATGCTATCATCATACCAATTCTACCTCTAGAATTAGCAGTAGTGTGTTGTGTGACAAATTTCGTCCTACCCGGTGTGGGTAAGAATGTTTATTAAACAATATTATCTTAATAAAGTTAATGGTAATCTTCGGTGAATGAATAAACCTTTATAACGAGTACTAATTAAGTCATATCCATCAGAGAGGGTAAAATTTCGATTTTTTTTTTGAAGTGTTGGTCAGATATACTACGTACATTGGTAAATTTTGACATAGCAAAGCTTAGCATGCTTAATTTGACTTTATTTGAAGATATACAAGCAATTTTTATATTTGGATTGATTATAATAATGAATTTAATTGGACACCAAATGAACGCCAATTTTGTCCACCTCCTTTTCCCTTCAGTTCCTTTTAAGAAAATCAAACATTTATAAAGTTCATATTTAGTCATATTTACAGACTTCAAGAAACATATTGAAATTTATTGCAACAGGCACCATGATAGCGGGCTTTTCTGTGCTGTGCTGTGCTAAAACAGACGACATCACACCTAAACAGAAATACTCATCAGCCATAGTTGTAGTGGCTATCGGCTTCCTCCAGCTGATTATGGTGTCCTGCTTCCTGATTGGCTGGATTTGGAGCGGGATTTGGGGAGTCTCCTTAATAGGAAATTCAGGTATAATATCCAAAACAGATTTAATATGTAAAATGAGAGAAAAATAAAAATATTGGATATGAACTCAACATGATAAAACGAACTCACGTATCTTCGTCTCATTTTAGCTGAATATTATAAAGAATCGGAGTCCTCAAATTGGAGAGGCGATAATCGCCGACGCTTGCGGCCTCGGTCGAACCTTATTTATCCGATGAGGGCTCGATCTAACATTAGGTACCACAGTCCACCTCCACCTTATGAAATGTACCGTACCCCGCCCCCTGGGTACTCTATGCCTGGACAGACAGTGGATCAAGAGGAAACGGAAATTCCAGCGGAACCCGAGCCTGATCGAAATTTAGATATGGTATATTTAATTATCAGTCGTATAGTGTTTTGTAGAAAGATTTGCTTATGGACACAGACAAGATTTCTTAAATCTTTCAAATCAGTTCAAATGTGATAAATAATGACAATATTATGCTATCAGATTTACTTATAGCCAATTCCCAGTCTGTGTTACAATGTACATCGAAAGACATTTAAATTAGAAATGGCAATGATAAAAACCATCAGTATTACATCTGGTACCTTTGGTTCCTCTTTAAGCTTGGTTATAATATCGTACAATAGTGTAATCCTTTCCGTTTCACTAGTAAGATACAAGAAAATGTCCACTCAAATGTATTTCTTCCAACTATGATTTTAACGATTTTGGGATTGAAACACTGTATTATATGTGGGTTAAAAGAAAGCAAAAAACAAAAACAAAACCTCAAGTATATTAACTGTTCGTATTATATTTGTGTAGAATATATTTTATTGAGGAAAAAAATTATATTTTTAATCAAAAGTTAAAATTATTTCAGGTAGAGGAAAATATAATTAGAAACGAAGTAAATAATCCACAGCCTCAATTCTGGCAGTGTGCGGTTTGTCAAAAACAAAACAATGCTTCGGAACGCAAGGTAAGCTCCTCTTTTTTAAATTCCCATACACCTTACATGTATGTCATTTTTTGATCTTCAACACTGATATATTTAATAAGTTTTAAACAGTATTCATTGTATACTACTTCGTAAACTTTACAGTTAATACAAAGAACAGGGTCATGGGGAAAACATCAAGATGACTGTTGAAATTCCAATATTCGACATTATTTAAAAGATTTCCTCTCCCCTTAACATTTCTCGTTAATGTGAATGTCCCATATTGCACAATACCATCTATATCCCGTACACTATACATGTACATGTGTATAAATGTACATGTATATCCTGTACAAATATTACGGATTTCAAACCAATGAACATTTTTTTTCTTCCGGATTTTAATGACTGATAAAAATTTAAAATGTTTATTTTAACTTAATTTTCTTTCAGTTTCAGTGTAATCGCTGTATGGAGACGGTGTGTGATTCTTGCTATCAGCAGCACTTCACGATGCCAAACGGGGAGCGGATCGTGGTGTGTGACACGTGTTACAATGAACTCTCTCTCCCCAGCGTCACGTGAAATTAACCGAAATATAAACGTGTTCATTTTGATGGATATTGCAGAGAAGCTGCTACAATGCTTAAAAGAGCATTGATTTCGTTCTCTCCCAAAGATTCTAATATTGAAAAAAAATTACAGCAGTACATAAATTTATAGGTTTTTTTTTTTTATTTAATGGCATATTTCTCTAGGAATTTCTGTGACCCCCCCCCCCTTCTAGAGAGAGAGAGAGAGAGAGTCATGCTCTACAAGTCTGTGCATATTTTGATAGAAAAAAGGGAAAAAAGTGAATTCTCCTTCTTAATTTAAGTTATAGTGACTTAAAAATTGCAGAAATTTAAAATTCGTCGAGACAGTGTCACTTGCAGTATTCTGTCTTTCAATATAAATCTGTTTACCAGTACCATATTGTATTATAACTTAGTATAAAGAATGTTTGCGAACGACCATGCATCAAAGATATATCTAGACTTTGGGGAACTTTGTTTCCCTGATTTAGCATTTAATATTAGATTCTGTTGCATGACGTTATAATATGTGGCCGGGCAGTTATGAAATGGGGAAATTTCTGCGTAACAGCGATGACAATATATCTTATTTAATTATTTGTCAATATGCCGCACATTAGTTTTGTATAATATATTCTACCTTAATATTATACCAATGGCAGAAAGTCGAATGATTGTTATTTTCACAAAATAATATACCCGGTAATATATTTTGTATATTTGTTGTTTTGAAATAAAAAGTATGAATTTCTTTAGAACTCTCAATTATTATTAATTTTATTAAAAAGGTTCAATTTTCTCTCTCTCTCTCTCTTTTCTCAAAATACTGTCTTATCTCACAATTTAAGTCTTTATCTTCATCTAATTTGTCCTAGGAAATGATATGGATAGATTCAAAAGTATATACAAGCGAAGAGGTCGGAACGGACTTATTTTAATTTTTACTTCTATTGCACTTAATATTCTGTATACACATCAGGTATAGAATGCAATGCGAAATGACAGACAATTTAATTTTCTCTTGATATCATCATTCTGAAAAGCCAGGGAATTTTTCATGCAAAGTAGCCCAAGTGAATAATTGCACAAAATTATCCGTAATTTGTTCAGAAAAAATACACTTGGATACAAAAATGTGTATGCAAATTACTTTGAGAATGATGATCCATTTTAGTCGAATAATCTAGTTGTGAAAGTACAATAAATGTAGAAATAAGGAGCTGATAAATCTTGAGTTACTTTTCGGCGCTGTTTCAGACCTGTGGAGTCGCCCGCGTGGCGCAGTGGTTAGAGCGTTTTTTCTATATAGTCCGATGAAGGGAGCTGATCCTTACATACATGTATGTCGCGGGTTCGAATCCACTGCGGGACGTGGAGACCGGTCCTTCGGACGAGTCCGTATAAACCGAGGTCCCATGTCGCAATAGGTGCTACATGGCACGAAAAAGATTCCTCACTGCTCAATGGCCGAGTATAGATCAAAATTTGCTGCCCTCCACCGGCAAGTGGTGGCGTCTCCATATGAGTGAAAAATTCTCGAGAGGAAAACAAAGAAAAAACCCAGACCTGTGGACTCAAAGAATCACAAGCAAAACATTGGAATTACAAAGGGAAATGTACTGCTACTTATAAGAAAAGCTTCAGCTGAAAATATTCAAATTTATAATTTTAGCTCACAAAAAAGTTATACTGTAACAATAACCATGTATTAATGCCTTCACAAATGGCAGAAGTCGGATTGAATTTATTTTGTGTATATTAACTTTAACAGTAGTGAACACGTGCACTTTTTCTTTCAGACCTTTGCAACTGATAAATACATTGACAACAAATGTAAAGAATAAGATTTCTTAAAATTCCTTTGATCATAGACTATAAACTCATGTAAAAATTGATTTTGAATATCAGAAAATACCCCCCCCCCAACTTTGATTAAATTCGAGAAAAAAAATTACAAAAGACATCAAAAAAGCACATTTCTTTTTAGCTTTTACACATAATTAATAAGCATTACATGCGCAGATCTGGGGGGGGGGGGTCGGGGGGGGGGGAATTTGCACTTATTAAATGTATAAACTAAACCAACAAAAAGTGACCTTGCCCCCCCCCCCCCTCGAAAACGCGGATCTGTGTAAAGTTGGTAGTATGAAAAGTCATAGGCATGAAGCTTTAGAGGTCAACGACTACCCCCACCCCCCTCCCCAAACGAAATTGGTTTTTCACGTTTAGGGAAGGAGTTTACGGGGTTTTTGTTTTGTTTTGTTTTGTTTTGTTTTTTATTTTTTTTTTTTATTTGCTTTCAAGAATTTTTAGATAGTTTTTTTTTTTGACTTGGGTGGACCCCCCCCCCCTTCTGGAAAAAAAATCCTGGATCCGCGCCTGTATTAAATCCACCAGCTGTTATCTTATTCGAGGGGAAGTCACTCGTATTAACTACATCCGCTTCGGTTTGTAAACAAACTGAGAAACTGAAAAAGAAGGTAAGGAATCATATATCATTGTTTTTATTCTTTATTCGTAATGTATTGACACATTTAAAGTTTGCCTTTTTGTTTAAGAGTCCTATATTTTGTCATAAATCCCAGATCTATTTTTCTAGGCGCTTTATTTCTAATAAGAAACTGTTGTTGTTTTTGTTCCTTTAGGGCATGTACAAGGAATTTCAGACGATGACGCATTAGAATATTTCAGTAAAACAACTCTTGTTAAAATAAAAAGTGAAAAGAACTCTATAAGACACGAGACATGGGTCATGGTGAGGCCCACGCCCGGGGTAAACAGGGGAGGATCGCTGTCCCCGCTATGCC